AGGACAGATTATGGTTTGGGAAACACTGTAATGTTTAAGGAAATATTTTAATTCATCTTAACTTAATGGTTTCGATGTGATGTGAAAATCTAAAATTATACTCTCTACTACTATTAAAAGCTCAGTCAACTCAGGAGCAGATGATGGGGTCATGTGAGAGCGTGTGACCTGCAGGATGCGTTTGATGCGCTGTCTCTGAGGATTCTCGCCCTCCTCGCTGTCTAGCTGCCTGTGTGGGTAACAGATGAGCTGCAGCAAGCGCTGAGCCTGGATGTTCACCAGCACTGGGTCCTGCAGAGCACTGCTGTCCTCCGACAGAGACTTTAGACACCGCTCACCCACCCACTCCTGAACCAGAGAGAAAATACAGCTAAATTAAATCTTAAGCGAAGAAAAGAGTTACATTTTTCAACTGGAAGGGAGCAGTGTGCTGCTGATCTTGATCACTTTTAGAGTCTGGCAGAAACAATTTTGGGTAATAGTGAGGGCACAGGTGAAGCATTTTCTCATTTTTAAGCCAGTGTTTAGGACGTCACTCAAAAATGTGTTTCTATCTTCACAACTTTAGTCTATACTGATATTACAATATGGATTATAACCGCTAAAATTCCTCCAAGGATGAGAATATGATCCTCTTAAAACCCTCACCTGTTGGCAGATGCTCTTCAGCACATACTTGGCGTAAACCACCAGACTGGCCGTTTCAATCGAGACATTACGTCCTCCGGATTTCTTGGACCCCATGTCATCCTCTCCGATGTCGTCCAACCCAGCAGAGTGGGAGAAGCCTGAACCCTTCAGCTCAGCGTCTCCTGGAGAAATAAACACAAAGTCACAGTTTTTAAGGGACCAATCAATTCTGAATGCATAAACTGCCAGCTGGGTCCCATTAGCTCCATCTCCCACTACAACTGGCTTTCTTCTCTTTTACTAAATCATTTCATGCCTTTTCTGGTCTTCTTGTGTTGTTTTCCAATTACTGGATTAGTTAAAACTTCTGTATGATCATCAAGACATTTTAATGGAATAGTTCACTGAAAAATGTAAATTTGATGAAAACTTACTCATCCTCAGGGGATTCAAGATGAGTTTGTTTCTTCATCAGATTTGGAGAAATGTAGCATTGCATCACTTGCTCACCAGTGGATGCTCTGCAGTGAATGGGTGCCGTCAAAATGAGAGTCCAAACAGCTGATAAAAACATCACAATAATCCACACCACTCCAATCCATCAGTTAACATCTTGTAAAGCTGCATTTGTAGGAAACAAACCCATCATTAAGACATTCTAACATTTAACTGTCGCTTTTGGCCAAAATACCAGTCCAACATCCATAATAAAACTTTCTCCAGGGAAAAAGTCCATACCTTGTTGTCCTCTCACATCAAAATCCAATCACATTTGTTTAGGACTGTTTTTTTGCTTATAATCAGTGCATATTTCTCTCCTGGCTCAGATGAGACAACATTTTCACTGGAGAAAGCAGTATTATTGATTATGGACTTGATGGAAACAACAGTTTGAAGTTACAAAAGTTTTTGCTTCACGAGTCGTTAACTGATGGACTGGAGTGGTGTGGATTATTGTGATGCTTTTATCAGCTGTTTGGCCTCTCATTCTGACGGCACCCATTCACTGCAGAGCATCCACTGGTGAGCAAGTGATGCAATGCTACATTTCTCCAAATCTGATGAAGATACAAACTCATCTACATCTTGGATGGCCTGAGAGTGAGCACATTTTTTATTTTTTAGCAAATTTTTATTTTTGGGTGAACTATTTCTTTAATCACCTGTTTGACTGGCTAAAATGTGAATACACAACAGAAAAGTACCCAAAGTCTCACCCAGCATGAAAACAGCCTTTAACACGGCAAACACGGCTCCCACCACTATGCTGTTCTGAGAAGCAGCCAACAGGTGTCGGTCGCAGGACGATCTGATGCCCACTGTGGATTTGTCTGAGGACAGAAATATTATTCTCAGGTGTATAGTTACTGTCTAGAGTTGTTCAGGTGGGATGTGTAAAAGAGAGTTTGATTTACTTTATTTGGAGGGAGCTGTTACCTGATTTGGTGCCGTCTTGAGGACAGGGGTTGCGCTGTGGGGTTCTGAACAGATGAAGCAGGATCCTACATGTCAGTCTGGCTCCAGGTTCAGAATCCTGCTCACTACAGGCTGAACACACACACACACGAACATGTCACAACCAGCGTCTTCCATAAAAAGCTACTGGCCTCAGAATATGATCCCATCATTTCTGGCTCACAGCTGCGTGAACGCAGTACAAACAGAATGAGCCGATCACAATCCTGTATCCTGCCAGACAGACAGACCCCCTGTGACTCAAACGAGCAGGATAAATAAACAGCCGGGCAAAAGAATCCTCTGAAGTTCCCAGAAGGATCTTCAGACTTGATTTAAGGTGTTGGTTCAACCAAACACAAACACATTGTCATGAATTGTCTCATGTTGTTCCAAACCGAAGGACACAAATGTGAGCCTGGAGCACAAAAGCAGTCATAAGCCGCTGGGGTATATTTGTAGCAATAGCCAACAATACATTGTATGGGTCAAAATAATCTATATTTCTTTTATGCCAAAAATCATTAGGATATTAAGTAAAGATCATGTTCCTTGAAGATATTTTGTAAATTTCCTACTGTAAATATATTAAATCTTAATTTTTGATTAGTAATATGCATTGCTAAGAACTTCATTTGGACAACTTTAAAGATGATTTTTCTCAATATTTAGATTTTTTTGCACCCTCAGATTCCAGATTTTCAAATAGTTGTATCTCGGCCAACCATACATCAATGGAAAGCTTATTTATTCAGCTTTCAGATGATGTATAAATCTCAATTTCGAAAAAATTGACCCTTATGACTGGTTTTGTGGTCCAGGGTCACAAATGTTGAAAAATGTACACAGAAGGTAGACAGATAGAGCTAATCAAATACAGTAAATGGAACCTCAAACATGTTTGTGATGAGAACAAACCTCTTTGGTTCGAGCATGTCAAGCAAGTTAGAGCTCATCAAAAATGATAAATGGAAGCTCAATGTGTGCGTGTGCTGATTAATGTTTATATGTGAATAAAAGACTAGCCTAAATTAAATCGGTTCATCATATAAAGTGATTCACATGGAATCCTCTCACAATGTCTTTATTAATTTTTTCAAATTTTGGTTGCATAAACATTCGATGGTTGGACAAAAATGATTTGAGAATATTAAAACTACATTTGTGTTTGAAAGATGTATACAAGTCTTATGGTTTGAAATGACGTGAGGGAGAGTGAATGAATTGAGTAAATGAGTAAAATATTTTATTTTTATTTTAAATTCTTGCACATGGTTATCGGATGGTTTCAGAAGACTTGAAAGGTAGCGCATAAGTTATATGGACTATTTTTATGAATTTTGCCAATTTTGAAGTTCAGCAGCTCCATTGTGAGAACAAGTTTGGAATGATATGAGGGTTGAGTAAACAATGAAAATTTAAATTCAAATTAATTTTTTTTTTTAAACAAATAACAGGAACACAAGAGTTAACGTGATTGCAAGGTGTGCGTTAGAGCTCATCAAAAATGATAAATGAAAGCTCAATGTGTGCGTGTGCTGATTAATGTTTATATGTGAATAAAAGACTAGCCTAAATTAAATCGGTTCATCATATAAAGTGATTCACATGGAATCCTCTCACAATGTCTTTATTAATTTTTTCAAATTTTGGTTGCATAAACATTCGATGGTTGGACAAAAATTATTTGAGAATATTAAAACTACATTTGTGTTTGAAAGATGTATACAAGTCTTATGGTTTGAAATGACGTGAGGGAGAGTGAATGAATTGAGTAAATGAGTAAAATATTTTATTTTTATTTTAAATTCTTGCACATGGTTATCGGATGGTTTCAGAAGACTTGAAAGGTAGCGCATAAGTTATATGGACTATTTTTATGAATTTTGCCAATTTTGAAGTTCAGCAGCTCCATTGTGAGAACAAGTTTGGAATGATATGAGGGTTGAGTAAACAATGAAAATTTAAATTCAAATTAATTTTTTTTTTTAAACAAATAACAGGAACACAAGAGTTAACGTGATTGCAAGGTGTGCAAGACAAGGTGTGATTGCAATATTTCAATGAGATTATTAAACTATAATTTGCTTTAGATGAACCCTTGAATGGAACAGAATCCCACCAGAATATAAAAAAGTTATTGTGGATTCTCTCTTAAAAAAAAAAGGTTGTCGTCAAATCAAAACTGTGAACATTTATAGGGAGTTTAGAGTTTAAATTTGGCATTTATGTATTGATTTCTTGGTAACACTTGGTAAGGCCATTATGTACAATGCATTCTAAAAGTATTCATAATGCAGCTTGTAATGCATTATATATTTTCAGAAATAATTGTAACCAAAGTTAAAATGCATTATAATATTTGAATGTTTGACTGCCATGCATTTTAATGTATTATCCTTTCTAACAACGAATAGCTAAATGTTATAATGTATTGTAATATTATAATGTAAACAACTTTGGTTACAATTATTCATGAGATCATACAACATATTACAAGGTGCATTACAAGGCATAATTAATGCATTAAAACTACTTTTATAATGCATTGCATACAAAGCATTATATAGCGATTTTTTTTCAACATCAACCTGCCCAGGGACTACAGATGAAAAAGATCCACCCTGTCTAAATCTGTCACATTTTATAATGACTTTATATATTACTAATGTGCATTGTCCCTGATTAAATAAACACATTTTTAAAAAGAGGTCGAGAAAGGAATATAACTGTATTAATGACATAGTATTTCTCTGAACTCTCTTAGGCAACTGTGAAAATGTAACGACTGCACCTCCAAGAGTGAGGTATGCAGTGACTGTGTCTGTATGGCAGGAATACTGTGGGACATCAACTGAAAGAGCCATACCTGCATTCAGGAGGGAGGGAATGGCCACACAGCGCACCAAATCCTCCAGTAACAAACACTGCCGAGCTATCAGGATGGCAACGAATGTCGCCAGCGAGTCATGGAAAGACAGATCACTCACCTGCCAAAGAGGAAACATTCAATTACCACCAGGAACATCTAGTACAGCTACCCTATTTAAAGGGATAGTTCACCCCAAAATAAAAATTAGCTGTTAATTTAGTCACTCTCAGGCCATCCAAGACGGTAAAGAAGATTCTTAGCTGAAACTGTGGTCCTTGGTGATTCATAAAATGCAAGTCAACAGCTACCTGTCTTTGGGAATTAAAAAATAAATAAATAAAAGGCAATCCGTGGCTCCTGGCGATATATTGAGTTCTTATGAAGTGAAATGATTGGTCTGTGCAAGAAACTGAACATCATTTACAACATCATTACCTGTAATCCTGAGACTCAGACAAACAGGGAAATCTGATTCTTTTACGCAAACTGTTTTTTTGGACAGTTCGTTTCAATGAACTTTGTTCAATTCACTAGTTCGTTTATGTAACCACACAATGACGTAACGTATATGCAATAATATATGACCCGTGCTGGCAAAACGAGTCGGACTGCGCACGGTCTAATTTTGAGCTACAGGCAAAAGAAATGAAAAATTTCACTTTTGGTTGAATTTGAGGTTTTCACAAAAATGAGTTCATTAAGCCCTCTTCTAGCAAATCCTATGCTCCAAATAGTAACTAAACATTAAAATGATTTTTATTTGTACGTTTTCTGAGAGGAGTACCTTTTTGGACAGTTCGTTTCAATGAACTTTGTTCAAATCACTAGTTCGTTTATGTAACCACACAATGACGTAACGTATATGCAATAATATATGACCCGTGCTGGCAAAACGAGTCGGACTGCGCACGGTCTAATTTTGAGCTACAGGCAAAAGAAATGAAAAATTTCACTTTTGGTCGAATTTGAGGTTTTCACAAAAATGAGTTCATTAAGCCCTCTTCTAGCAAATCCTATGCTCCAAATAGTAACTAAACATTAAAATGATTTTTATTTGTACGTTTTCTGAGAGGAGTACCTTTTTCTCTGCTCACTTCTGGACGTCTTCTGCTGCTTCTCACCACAAGTTGTAGGTCTGTTGTTGCAAAGCGCAGCATTTCAGCTTTGCAAATTATATTCATATCGAATTCTCGATGACATGAGTCCAAACCATTGAAATATGATTTTCAAACCCATGCTGATGAAAACAAAACGATCGTGCTGACTGACATTTGCAAAGCGTGTGCATAAGACGCGATCTCCCTAAAGTACATTATTGCAAAATATGCCTTGGCGAGATCCACACAAACATAATCTGTTAGGTCTTACATGAACGTTTCGCTAATGGTTGGGGAAAAATCCGATGTGTAACATATTAGATCCATGCATTACAGTAGGTCTTAATATACATCTGTCTCAATGTTAATCATACATTAAAAGAAAAGACAGAATCACTCGCTGCTCTTGATTAAACTACTGTTTATTTGCATCTTTGTTCTTATTTTTAATAACAAAGATAAAATCAAAAATAGCTATATTGTGAATAATAATATAGTAATTCTTAAGAAAAGAATCAGAGGAAAATATGCAATCTTGTCAAAGCATATCGATTTTTCTCTAAATCAACTCTGCTGACTCTATTGCATTCAAACGGCTGTAACTCAGTCATTTTTTTGTCCGATTCCAACATTAAGTCATACATCATTTTGAAGGTATTATTAATGGAGAATGTGAAAATAAAAATAACTCATTTTTGAAAATGTGCTCATTCCGACTCATTTTGCCAGCACGTGTCACATATTATTAAAGCACCCAATAATGGTGTGAAATGTGGATGTTTAACAAGTCTGAAGCAAATAAGTGAATAAACAAATCTGAATGAGTTCATTCATCACCGGATCAGATATGCTGCTATTTCAGCTCATTTCCAGTCAGAGTGAGTTTTGATTGAGTAACTTGTAGATCTGTGCTGCTGGAGAACTGTTTCAGACGCTTCAGATTGATTTGGAGAACTGATTCAACTCGTTCACCAAAAAGAACCAGTTCAAAAGAATAATTTGTTCATGAACCAAACATCACTCCAGACCGTTTGCCCGAGGCTCTGGATTACAGGTAATAATGTTGTAAATAATGTTCAGTTTCTTGCACAGACCGATCGTTTCGCTTCATAAGACCTCAATATATCATCAGGAGCCACATGTATTCATTTTTTGTTCCTTGATATACTTTTTTCTCTCAAAAATTGGTAGCTGCTGACTTGCATTTTATTAATCGCCAAGGACCAGGTTTCAGCTAAAAAACTTCTTTACTGTTATACTGAAGAAAAAAAGTCACCTAAATCTGGGATGGCCTGAGGGTGAGTAAATTGACAGCAATTTTTCATTTTTGGGTGAACTATCCCTTTAAGACCCCTACACATTTCACCAATCATCCATTGACTTGAGAAACATCTAGTTAACAAGAGCAACTACTAGGCATTTAGTGGTAACCTTGATAATGGAGTATTTTCATAGACCAGTAAAAAAAAAATTGAAACATGTTTAAGTCAGCACAAATAATAGTTAAAATGAGATCACATGGCTACAACGGATTAGCCGTCAAAGCAACAGATGAAAGCCGACTCACATCAACGTTGCAGAGCAGATCGTTGAAGCCACAGTTGCCGTTGTTGGAAGAGCAGCAGAGAGCCTTGAGCACTCCCAACCACTCAGCGCTGAGAGAGCGACAGTACGCCGTCAGCTCCGCGCACAGGATCCCGATATCATTCACCCTGAAACAAACCACACAGCATTTGCTAACCGCAGGAGAGCAGGCGCAGCTACAGATGCCATGCAGCTGTTCTGCTATTACTGAAGATGCTTACGGAGAATAATGCGACAGGACCCAGGGCAGTGTTTATGTAAATCATCTCAGTCATTTTTATGATAGCAGCACATTTTAATGATTTAAAGTTTCTTTTTTATTTGGCCATGAAGTTTACTAAAGTCTAAATAGACAATTTTTGTCTTGAAGTGTTAAAAACAGATGTTACTCTATTCTTCAATTTAAACTTTGGTAGTAAAATGGTATAAAAAAAAAAATAGTTTTTTTGTTAATAGCTACCATAAACTGCTTACAGGCTAAGTAACTGGAATATTTTACCTATTGATTATTACTGCTTAACTGATAATTATTAACTGAACACTGGTCTGTTTTCTCATATTGCGGTTTTAAAAAAAAATTAAAGGCTTATTTTTCAAAACCAGTATTATAATATTATATAATTTATAATATATTCACTTATAATGCAACATAATATTTATATATTATATAATATTTAATAAATATGATTTAAATACTACTTTCTATTAATATTCTGAATTCACTTTTATTTGTAGTTATTTAGATTAATATAGTTATACTATTATGTTTGTATTTTCAATTTTCTTTTTAGTTTGCTTAATGCGCTTTTGTCAATCTTATTGTTTTTTAATATTACTATTTGGGTTTAATTTATTTTTAAGTTTTATTTTCAGCTTGTTTTTTTTCATCTAACACTTACATATTATTTCAGCTTTTTTTCCCCCAATTATAAAATGTTTGTAATCATAAATCAACCGAATCAGACGCCCACCTCTCGGGATCCCGGTGGTCCACACACACATCCATAAGCACGTTACACACGAAGCTGTATCGGTTGGCTGGGCTGTCATTGAGGATCTTTCCCACCATGGAGTGGTTGAGGTTGTGTGCGGTAGGATTAGCGATAGCGTCGATCATGAACACCTGATCCCACAGCATGTTGGAGTCTGATGGGTCGATGTTATAGTAGATGGAATTCTTCACCTTTGAGCAGAACTCACTGTGGGAATTCACACAAAACCAGACACCATTAGAGATCAGGAATATGGGGAAATACTTACAAAGCAGCATGGATTCGTTGCTCTCACCTGAAAATCTCCCCAAACTTGCTCTTCAGGTGACTGCAGGAGGTATAGAGGTCGTAGAGATAGGCCAGGATACAGCGTTCGGCTGAGGAACAGTCTGCAGGGTTCACGCCAGACTTGACTACAATCCGCAGCCTGCCAAGAATGATACGAGATATTCATTACTGTCCAAATAGCTTAAAGGAGAAGTTCACTTCCAGAATAAAAATGTCCTGATCATTTACTCGCCCCCATGTCATCCAAGATGTTCACGTCTTTCTTTCTTCCGTCACAAAGAAATTAAGGTTTTTGAGGAAAACATTCTCTATATAGTGGACTTCTATGGTGGTCAATGTTTTGAAGGTCCCAATTGCAGTCAATGCAGCTTCAAAGGGCTCTACATGATCCCAGCTGAGGAATAAGGGTCTTATCTAGCGAAACGATCGGTCATTTTCTTAAAAAATATACATTTATACACTTTTTAACCTCAAATGCTCGGCTTGTTCTAGCTCTGCAATGTGCGTCTTCACACATTACGTAATCCTGTTGGAAAGGTTACGCGCAGTTAGTTCTTCGTCAGTGTTCTTGTTAAAAACTCCATCTCATTTTGTCCTCCAACTTTAAAGTTCTCCGACATCGCCGTTTTACCATTTTTGTAAAGGGCATTTTTTTTGCATGTTGTAAACACGTGACCTTTCCAACATCACCTGATAAAGACGCACATCGCAGAGCTAATGCTAGCCGAGCATTTGTGGTTAAAAAAAGTGTATAAATATATATTTTTAAGAAAATGACCAATTGTTTCGCTAGATAAGACCCTTATTCCTCGTCTGGGATCGTGTAGAGCTCTTTGAAGCTGCATTGACTGCAATTTGGACCTTCAAATAGTTGACCTCCATAGAAGTCCACTATATAGAGAAAAATCCTGGAATGTTTCCCCCAAAAACCTTAATATCTTTGTGACTGAATAAAGAAAGACATCTTGGATGACATTGGGAGTAAATTATCAGAAAATGTTTATTCTGGAAGTGAACTTATCCTTTAATGTCATTCCAAAAAAAAATATGTGACAGCACTATCCTATCGAGTGGTGGACATGAATATGACGTACCCATCGAAGACCTGTGCGGTCTGGTCAGGGTTGAGGATGAGGCAGGAATGGTATCTCCGCAAAACGGCCACAATGCACAGACAGAGACCTGTAGTGTAACTGCCAGCCAGATTGGAGGACTTCAGCAGGAGTTCTGCTTCCACCAGACTCAACTCATTCAGCAGCTACATGACACCACACATACTGATGTTAATCACTTATAGACAAAGCAATAATACTTCTCTTTTACAAGCATTATATTAAACAAGAGAGAACATCTAGACCGCCAAACGTCCAGCAGCACATTACAGACTATTTTAATGCATGCATATGACCCCAAACAGAGAGTCAGAGATCATATTTTGGGATCAGCTGTCATACCTGTATAGCAAAGTCAATGAGGCCACTTATATTGAGCGAATACTCCATGAGGTCAAAGATGAACTGGATGTGTTGGACCAGTGGGAGGTGGTAGGACATCCCTAAGGCAAAGCTGGTGATCTGTTCCAGAACATTCCTGGACACCTGTGAGAACCCAAACACACCAGTATTACCCATCTGAATGACATCTGAACGCTAATGAGATTTGCAGACGGTCATGATTTACAGTGAATTTAAATCAGTAGGCTTGAATACACTATACAAATGTTGCCCAGGTGAACAGTCTGGAAAAGTCCAAATTTTGTGGACAACATACACAACATGATGTAGAAGATCATGTTGTGTATACAGTATGTTGGGCACAGACTCTTGATTTATTTATTTTTTTTAGCTCCAGACAATGATTATATCCAGTTGGAGGAGATCAAACATATTTGATATTTTGAAACGATTTTAGAATACAATGTTTCATTGCAACGATGCGATGGTTCTATGTGATTCTGTTGCATTCGGAATGACTAGAAAGTCTGGTTGTGTTTCCCAGTTTTTCTTCTGTAACCATTTACAAAGTTGGCAAGCGTATGATGCCTAATATTTAAAAAATGGTTTAGAATTTAACATCTGTGTAGTTTCTTCAGGCTTCAGTGCGGTTTAGGCAATCCTAACAGAGCTCACTGACACACAGAACTCTTAAAGGCACAGTAGCAAACACAACCTGTCAAGGCAGTGTCACATTTTCCACAGCTTGGCAAAATTTTGCTGGCAAATCCAGTCATTTCAATAGGAATCTATGAGATTAGGAGATTCATGTGAGGACAAAACTTTTCCCTAAGCATATATCGCTCATATTCAAACTGGTCACACAAATCTGCCACACTGACCAACAGAAAGCTGATTGGTGGACCTTCTTGCGAATCTTTTGAGATCTTAAGTTATACATGTACTCATCTGTATTTTGTTTTGGTCTTGAGTTTCATCTTTTCTGTCACTATATATTCTTTATGTAATTGCGTAGGTTGATTTATTTCTTTTTTTACTTTCCTTTTTTAAATCTCCTTATCTTTTGAGTGGATCTTGGGCTTTATTGAAAATAGTTATCTTTTAAAATGCGTTATAAATAAAGAATCAAAAGAAAGAAAAAGCGAGCTGACTGGTTGAAAGTACAATTTGGAAATTTGGATGCATATTTGAATCGGCATCATTGATTGTGTTAGTTTCCTGTTTAATACTGTGAATCTGAGAAGCGCAACTTCTGTGTGAGCATTGTTTCATGCATTGCTACACTTTTGAGAATAGACCTTTATTTGCGCCAAAATGCAGCTGAGATTTTGCTAATGTGACCAGCTGCACATTTAGAGTCAGAGAGAGGGTGGGGGGAAAAAAACTGCTTTTGGTGCAATAAACTTAAATGCACATTATTAGTGCTACAAAAGTGTCTCATAGTTGAGTCTTTTGAAATCTACTCCACTGTCTGAGAGCGTGATCAAAGCATATGCACTACCTAGTGAACCCTTCTATTTAAGCAAAATCAGTATATGTTGTGTTTCATTGATGGAAGTCAGGCTGACCTGAGAGGTGACCTGGTGCTGATCAAAGTGTGAGAGGTGCTGGAATTTAGAGAAAATGTCTTCAGCGGTGGGAAAAGCCTCTGGTTTACTCCTCTTCCTCTTCTGACCTTCCTCACCTCCTAAGGACAGAAAACAAAAGACAAAGATCAATGAATAGACAGCACAGAGAGAGAGAGAGAGAGAGAGAGAGAGAGAGAGAGAGAGAGAGAGAGAGAGAG